ATAGCACAATCACATGCTATAGCTTGAGCAAGAGGAAATAATTCAAGCCATAGTGTAGCACAGTCTTCAATGAAGATCCATTGTTTTTAAAGTGTCAATTTTTGGCAGTGGTCCAAACAAATTGATAGAAATGATCTCAAAATGTTGAGAATAGACAGGGGTTCATAGCAGTCCAGCTGGCTTGGTAGCCCTTTAGCGGTTGCATTCAGGACAGCTTTTCACATAGTCAGATATGTACTTTTCCATACCAGTCCAATAATAGCATCTGGCAAGTCTTTGGAATGTTCCTTCCTCTCCATAATGTCCAGCCATTGGGTCATCATGGTGCTTTTACAAGATGGATTCATGCTCAGCAGTTGGAATGACTAACTGGGCCTCTTCTGAATCAGACGCAGGGACGTATCAGTAGAGAACACTTTTATTCATTAAGATTCCCCATTCAGTCCAGGTGGCCCGTTCTTCAGTTTTCTGAGTGGATTCAAAACTTTCTATAATCTTTTTAAAATTTTCACCTTTAAGTTGGGATTCACGCATATCTTGGACTTCTTGTGGGCATGTTCATAACAGATATATTTGAAATCACGCAAGGTGAAGCTTCATGTTCAGAGCTTTGACAGAACAGCATGTCAACGATGACATTTGCCTTTCCAGGGATGTATTGTACTTTCAGGTTGAAAGACTGAATTTCAAGTGCCCATCTAGCAAGTCTTCTGGTGAGGGTTAGAGACTTGAGGTTCAAAAGCCATTTTAAACGTTGATGATTAGATGCTGTAGTTACTACTGATCCTTTGACATAACCACAGAATTTCTTCAGAGCCCAGATGACAGCGAGAGCTTATCGTTCAGTCACTGAATATTTTTACTCAGCTGGAGAAAGTAATAGCCTGCTTATTTGATAGGGTGCTCTTTTGATCCTCCCCCTTGAAGTAAAAATGCTCCAAGAGCATAATTGCTTGCATCTGTTCACAGAATGTACGGTCGAGTTCCAATTGCTTGCTTCAGCCCAGGAGGTGTTATGAGGCAGTTTTCAAATGCTTTTTGCTAGTTCAAACCCCGTTCCTACTGGACTTTCTTCCTGGTTAGATTACTAAGGGGTCGTGATATTTCTGCAAAGTTTTGTATATACTGACTAAACCAAGAACACGTTTGAAGGATGGATTAAAATTCCTTGTCGTTTTTGGGAGGTGGAATTATCTGGATAGAGGAAATTTTTCCCGGGTCAACTTTGATTCCTTTTTGTGTAATAAAAAATCTGAAATATTTCACACAAGAAGAAGCAAAGTGGCACTGCTCTCTGTTTGTGTGCATTTTGAAGAGCAAAAGCCTTTCGAAAATGTGTTTTTCAAATGGTTCTGACAAAACAATTATGTCGTCCAGAGAGGTGAGGGTTAGGATGTCCTCAAGTCCATTGCAAAAATGGTCTATCAATCTCTGGAATATTGCTGGGGCATTTGGAAGACTGAAGAGCATTTATAAGAAACAATATGTTACAAAGGGACACACAAATGCTGTCTTGTCCTTGATCAACAGTATGAACCTTCACTTGGTGATAACCTGCACACAGATCAAGAATCAACATGAAGGGAGTAGGTTTTGCTTCATGTAACAGGTCATGCATCCTCAGAAGCGGGTAGGAATCCAGAGTTGTGATCGCGTTCAATTTCCAGCAATCTATGCAGAGGCATACTCTTCCATTAGGTTTCGGTATTAAAACAACTGGGGATGCATAAGGTGATTCGCATTCTTCAATTATTCCTTCAGACATGAGCTTGTCAATTTCTTGCTCAAGATTTCTTTCTTGACATAATTCATCCTGTATGGTGGTAAAGTTACTCGGGGATGGTTTTAATTTGATTTTATATGAAAGGTGTTGTTTCTCCTCCTGGTTAGAAGATAGTTGAATATTGACTCAATAATTTTTTTGTGATCTTTGATGAGACAATAGATGTTGTCCTTCACCTTCTCTTAACAGCACAGTGTCAACTTCCAACATACAGGGTCTGGCAGCATTCATAGCATAATTTGACTTGCATAGTACAATGATATACTGCATGAATGTGTGCCAGCTTGTGCCACATTCGTGTACTAATGAGCTGCCATTTCAAGTGTGACAGTGATATGGATCGGTGGAGTGCACAGCATCGTGCCTTTGCTGTTGAAAGTTATTTCAAGAATAACTACTCCATTATTTCTACCCAGTGTCTATTTTAGTAACATTTCAACTTGGGATGTCATGGGAAAGTTCCAGATGGATGGACCATTGCCACAGACATTTCCAGGTAAAGTAATTTCCCGTTTTGGTGACATTTCCTGGCCGCCTCGCTCACCTGATCTTTCATGTGCAGACTTTTTCCTTTGGGGCCACCTGAAGCAAGAAGTTTTCTGAACACATTGTGCCACCATTCTTCAGTTGAAGGATCGCATAAGAACTGCCATCGTCATTGTCCCAGGAAATATGTTACGCCGAGTTATGGCAAGCTACCAATGCCGCCTAGATAAATGTGTTGTGCAGAGGGGGCATCATTTGACAGGCATCATATTGAAGAAGTAATACACACAATGGACAATGACTTGCACATTAGTAAATGGCATACCTTTAAATATTAATTGACATAAGAGGTAATAAATAAATTACAGTTACTGCCTTATGGTGTGTTTTTAATATCCTACTATGAACGCTGCCGCACCCTGTATATTCGGTTCACTCATTGGGTTTAAAATCCTCATCAATAAACTTAAACTTCTATTCCGAATTATTGTGGTAAAACCACCAATGATTTTGTAGGTCTAAAATAATTCCAGTACTTCTAAGAAAATCCAATCCTAAAAGTGCCCTTGTTACCCTTTGCTGAGGGGAGCGCAAATAAAGTTATGCGGGATGATTTTTCTTCAATGTGAATGTATAGCTGGGTCATGTGGAAATGTTTGTCCGTTTGAAAGATGAGCCCCTTGAAAGATGTTAATAAATTTGGGGGAACTTTCCACAGATTAATTAAAAAAGAGGATGTATCTGGGGATCAAATTTTCAAGTATGATTAGTCTAGTCAAAATTTTCAAATGCTGCCTTTAAAAATGTTTGCATCCAGAGAAGAAAAAAAGTCCCAGGCTGTGAAAGAGTTAATGAGAAAGTTACAGTCTTTTCATGTAGTAATGAAACAGGCAACCATTAACTAAGAATAGCACTAGTAAGTGAATGGAAAAAATGCTAGGCATTTAGAAGCATAAAAAAGTACAGTTGTGAAACTGACATCTTTTATGATCTGCCTGTTTGGTACAAGAATCAGTCAAGTGCATGATTGAATGAATGGAGCTATTTTTAATGAGTGTGGGAAACGATCTAGCATCATGAAAGTTTTTTCTACAGAGATTTATCGTATATATCCATGTATAAGCTGAAATTTTTTAAGAAAAAAGTAAAATTTAAAAGTAGGAGGTTGACTTATACATGGAACCCCCTTTTTCCGAAAAAGATCTGTGGGGCTGGCAGACAGCATATCAGCGAACTTGATTATTAAATATATCGCGTTCATATAGAAAAAAAAAAAAAAAAAACACTCAAAATTGTTTAATTATTCTTCGTATTGTTATTTATTAGTTTTCCCCCCTTTCATTTCATCATCTGGCATCACAAACCAATTCAATCTGTACAAAATCTGTCGGGCACTCTGGTTAGTATAATCACATTAAATCAGTAACAGTAACCATACTGAATAAGTCACTGATTATATCTTATTTATTTCGATCATATGCGTGCATCTTTAATTTTCCTGCTTTTTGTAATGTCTGATTTATCAGAATGTACAAAAAACTTCTTTTCAGAGCAGCACACTCCCTTGCAATGGGTTGTGTAAAACAAAAGAGACTGTGAAATTCAAGCTAAAAGCAGCTTCATTTGTTTAAAGTACAAACAACTGTGTTGCATCATGTAAGATCAGTGTGAATGAGAAGATTATCCATGAGTAGAGGAAAAATATGTCTTATTTTACCCCCCCCCCCAAATCTTAAAAAGGCTCGGTGTAATGGATTGACATCTTTCCCAGAACTGGAAAGTTAAGTGACTGGATTCTAAACAACAGGCAGCAAGGTAATGTCGTAACCCCAACTGCAATATGTTTGTGAGCCACAAAACTTGTGAAAGATGAAAAATTTGCTTCTGTAAATAACTGTTTTCATGCATCACAACCTTGGTGCACGAGATGCATGAATCGTTATGGACTGTGTTTATGCCATCATACCACACTTTCACAGAAATTGCTGAGTCACCTCAAAGAGATATTATTAAACTTCCAATTTTTTGTTCAAATCAAAATTTTCCAATAATCAAATTTCAATCAAAATTTTTTGTTCAAATCAAAATTTTCCAATCAAATTTCAATCAAAATTTTTTGTTCAGCGCGTGACAAAAACTTATCCATGCATAACTCTGAAGTTGTAATGAATGAAGCTACAATGCAGAGCAGTTCCGTAATGGAATAAAATGACCATTAAGTAGATGAGAACGATAATGAAGAATCTGTTTCAATAATGAAAAATCTGTTGCAACAATGAAAAAGGCATGAGATCATGTCTGGATTGTGCCAAAATTCTTGGAATGCATTGGAAATTGTAGAATCGAGTGTAGGATTGAAAAAGATTCGCAGAACATGTTTGTTAAAAATATTTGTAGTAAAAAACAGCATACAACAGATTTCCATGCTAATGGAAAATTGATTTTGTTTATTTAATTTAATAGCTATACATTATGTGCATATTAATTTTCAGTTGTCCTATTTTCTTTCTGATTATTTTACTCAATTCACATTAAAAGAAGTCACTTCAGTTTTAGCTAGCTTGTTATGTGTTAAATGAAATATTTGAGTCTGCAGTGGTTGACTATAAATGAACTTTTCGAGCCTGTCATGGTTTTGTTGTGGAATATGAAATGCATAATTTATTCTTTTAATTGTATTGTGTATAAATTATTTTTATTTTATTAAAATATTATGTTATTTGTATTTTAGGAAATGCTTAAGATTATGAAAATTTGTTAAGACAGGATTATGGAATTAGAAAGTGATTCCTCTGCTGAAATACCATTATTAAATGGAATTAATGAAATTTTAAAGTCAGCCAGCTCTGAGAATCTGGAAAATGATAAGACTGAAATTGCCTGCTTGCAAAACTTTACATCTGATGATGCAAATGATACTTATATGCAGTCAGAAATATCAGCATTAGTGGAGATTTTTCGGAATGTTACTCAGCAGAGAATTTTAGATGTAGAGAACAGTAAATTGGATTTGAGCAAAAAAAATGAAGTATGTATTTTACAAATTTAATTTTTTTGCATGTGTTAAAGATTTAATTTATTGAATAAATTATCAGATTTTTTTGTTATTATCTATGGATTTCTTCTTAAGGTTTTAATTATTACTTAAAATACAACTGGACGCAGTGGCTTAAATAAATGTATGCTAGGAATGCCATCGCACCAGCGGCTGAGCCATAAAGTCACTGAACACTGGTAGTTCGGTCCGAGGTTCGAATCCCGCAAACGGGCAGGCTGCATGGATGTTTTTGTGGTTTTCCCCATGTGTAACGTGTATACGAGCCAGTTTCCCTTAGAAAGTCCTCCACGAAGGCATCCCTCCCCTTAGGCAGATAGCCATAATTAAATACACCACACCACGCCATCGCATTGGGGCTCGAATGCTTAGGGAGCCTTTGAATGTCCTGCTGATCTACATTTATATATTTAAATTTAAAAGAAGTGGGATATATCATAAGGTTCCAACCTTAAAGTTACAGCTATGAGTGTAGAATCTTGAGAACTTGTAAGCAAATAATCGCTTTAGCTCAGGAAACAGAAACGTAAACTCAAGATGGGTTAATTACCTTTTATTGCTCAAAATAAAGATTAACTGATGGCCCTTTCTCAGGATGTACAGAAAAGCCTCCACTTGGGCTTGAACTCAAGAATACTAAGAAAAATCAAACTTAACTAATGCTTAAGTAAAAAGATATAGCTGAAGCTATCAAAATTCTACAGGTGGCCCCTAAATGTTAACTAAATGGCGAAGCTAACAATGGCCTGAAATATGGCCGAGCGTAATAATAGCTTAGAGAGAGTGTAGTCAAAAGGCGAACGCACGCTAGTCAGAATCTCTGGCTCTCTAACAAAATCAGTGGCTAAAGTACTACTCTTCCTTCATTTGCATTTAACCACGATTCTAAAAACACTCTGGCAGGAAATTTTAAGCTGAAATTAGAAGGGGTAGGGAAGTAGCTTTAACTAAAGGTAACTGTTAAAAACTTAAGATAAACCTTAGAATATATATAAGAAATATAAAACTAGGCTAAAAATTAGAATTAAAAAATTTTTAAACTGTCCTGCACTATAGCTGCAGGATTGAAGTAGAATAAACTTAAAGCATCTAAATTTATTATTTAATTGGAATAAAAGAAATGTATAATATAATTAATTATATTATACATTAATTATAATAATATATAATTAATTGCAACCATGTATAAGAGGTAAAACACAATATCAAAACAAATCCGATTTAAAGAAAGAATTCATAGTAAAACAAACTCGAAAAATACAAAAGGGAATACACAGAATTATAGAAATAAAAATCAACTCCTTTTACTGAAATTCTAGTTTGGAACTCATCAGTGGAAAATGAATTAAAGGTTCATAAAAGTTGATTACTATGTTCGTTCTCCTGGTCCATTTGAGATCATTAACCGTAAATATGTTTCATCAAATTTTTAATTTAAGACTCTAAAATTTATATAAAACCAAAAACTCGAATCCCAAATGTACCAGATTTTTTCCTACACATTTTCGAAACACTTTGAAAAAAAGAATAAAACATAACATGATACCTGATTGACAATTCAAAACACCATAGAACTTTACATTATGTACATGCTAAACTTTTAATACCAAGAAAACAAAAAACTTTACATAGAGATTTCTATTAAACAAAAAATTAAAAAAAAAAAAATAAAAATAAAAAACCTGAGCCTGAAACAGCTAACTGGAAACCTATTTGAACAGTAATTGAAAAACACAAACTTATTGAAATCTTAACATGACCTTCTATGCCTAATCTAACAGAATTCTAAAGATGACCAAGTTGTGTTCTTGCAAAGAAAGTAGAATTCAAACTACTCTGGAGAAGCTGAAATTTTGTAGGTCTTGGAAAAAGTATGCGATAAGGTTCAAAGTGTCCAATAGCAGAACTAAGCATTTCAAAATGTGCTACCCTATTATACTTTGTGCGTGTGGGTGTCAGTGGTTAGGTGCGGTCTGTAAAAATTATTACCTACGAGGAGGGGGTGATCATCAACCCAAAATGGCGGTGTAAGAAACTTCTAAAAGAAGCTGCTCTCTGTAATATCTTAGAACACAAAAACAGAACTGGCTCAAAGTTGTGGAAAAGGAAAAAAGTATATGTTATAAAAGATAAAAGTCTTAACATAATCTGGGTACCATACGCCTTAGAAACTAGAAGCTCCATTTTTTTAGTAACAGCTAGATTTGCCAATTATTAAATTTACAAAAGAGTAGAAAGCTAGTATATAAAAATAATTAAAAAGGGAAAGAACACAATGTCTTTGTACATATTTAGATTAAATTTCTTATCGTAGTCATCCAACTATTACCTCCAATTAAGGTTTAAGTAATAATTATCATATCACTTTAGATGAGAAATTTAAAAAAAATTAGTTAATACCAGCTTTCTTTAAAGACATATAAATTTTAAATAGCGGTGTTTTATTTTCTAAGAGAATATTGACTAAGTTGGTGATTTATTCTTGTAAGTATTCGATTTTGTTGCAAATATTTTTTATTCAAATGAGTTGAGTGTGAATGGTAAAACAGAATTAATTTTCTTTTAAGTTTTTAAGGGCCCTCTGCCAGCCTTATATATGATGCAGATAGGGAGTCCTTGGAAGCAGATTAAACAGCTGAATTCAATTTTGCATATAATGAACTACGGGTTTATTGCGAGAACAAGTTCTAAATTTTTTGAAGCGAGTGCATGACAATAATGAAGTTCACTGGCATTCCTAATTTTAGAAAATGATTTTATATTGCAGCCAAATGTTAAATTTTCTTGGAAATATGAAATGAGTATGTTTTAGAATACGATTGTGTTGGCTTTGGTAAAAATTATTATTTCTTCTGGGACTTGTAGACTTCACATCAATTTATATTTTGAAATGCGGCTATACAATTAATTTATTTAACTATATCTCATGATAATGGTTCAATTGAAAGAAAATTTAATAAAGGTTTAAAATCTCTCTTCTTCCCTTCTTTCGATTCATGTTTCCTACTTTCACAGTTTTTCGAATTTGTTTAGCTGTCAGACCTCAATAGTTTATAACTCTTCTGATGCAGATTAGTTTCAATACTAGTTTTTAGGTATATAATTTAAGGGGTAAATATCTAAGTCTCTTTGCTTAATTAATTTTTTAAACTGATAATGAAATCTTCTTCGATATGGTTCATAATGTAAATATATTTGAACTTCTTGCATTGCATTGAAGAAAAGCTACATTATAATGAATGATAGTTATTGCAAATATTCACCTGATGTATACTCTAATCAAATGTAGGCCTTTGATATTGGTCATTGTAATAGAATGGCCATAACATGTTTTTCTTATAATATTAACTATTTTGACACTCATTACCAAAATCGGAGAAAATTTAAAGGGAACAGACTGCAATCAGTTATTTTACATAAACAACGAATGTTTTCCTGAAAATTCAAAAAATCCAAAGAAAGATTTTCATAATGATACAGGCCAAGTCAGAATATTATCTAACAGTTTCTTATGAAGCTTTTCTTTGAAATATTCCATAAATATTTAGTCTTAAGAAGACTTTTTGTATGCATTTGTATTAAGTATGTTTTATGCATATGTCTAATCAGAGTCAAGCTGAGGTTTTGCCGAATAACTTAAGGAGTGAGAGGAGTGGAATTAAAATACAACAATGTTAATGCTTTGAAGATGATATACAAAATTTAAGTCAAAGTTGCAATGCCTTAAAAAAAAAAAAAAAAAAAAAAGGCTCTGACTGAAATATCAGTTACAAAAATTCTGCCTCCTTTCTCAGACTTTGAGGATAGTTATTATTTGATGACCTTCCTTGTCCCTTGTCTTGATGACATTCGGAAATATTTAGTACAGTACAAAAGGGAAAAAAATCATAAAATATTTTTTAAAACTGAGAATATTTAAAAGAATACTCAAATGAAAAAAAAAAAAAAATGTTAATATCATAAAAATGCAAGGGGATTTTGTTAATGTATATGCCTACTGCTAAAATTGTTACTCAATTTTCATTAAAAAGTTAATGCGAACTGCTGATTTGTGCATGAAGCAAAGGCCAAAAATTATTTTTGTACATAAATTAAAACTGTTAATCAATACATGTAATTCTAAACTGTATTCAGTTTGCAAAACACACTAAAACTGATTAGAATATATATTGATGTTAGGCATACCTAGGAAATATTTGCTACCAAGGTATATTTTCAGTGCAAGACCGTGTTTGCAAAAGTTAATGTTCCACCATTGGACTATGAAATAGCAACACCTTGGGTTTCCTAGTTTAGGGACAAAAGTTATCACAGAACTGAAAATGTTCCTTGTATTCCCCAGTATCTTATCTGAAAGTTCTCTTTACGGTTCTGCCTCATAGGGCAGTGGAAGTGCATTCCTATTTCCCGTCATTTTAAGTGAAACATTTCTAAACTTTTCCCTCTTTTAAAGGTTAAAAAAGCTAAGGGGCATTTATAATCAAGAGAATTCTAAATACAAGGTCACTTAGATTCTAAAAAGTATTCGTTAGGGACTGAATCTTCATAAAGTTTGCATGTGAAGGTATGAAAGTTTTTATTTAATTAATTAAAATATAATGAATGATTTATTAATTAGAAATTTGCCTCGGTCAGATCTGTAAAAATATTTATTAGTATGTTTATTATTTTTGCAGAGGGAGGGTTTTGTAAATAATTTACATAACTCTCCCCATTATGCAGAAGTCGTTTTCATAACATTATATAATTTATTTTCAGGAATTTTGTTTTTGTATGTATACGCACAGAATCAATATGTAATAAATTGCCTGAAGAGACCTTTTCGAGCACTCTGTCTTATGCAGTAAATTAATTAAAACTTTCCATCTTTCCAAATTTTCTGAAAAACTCTTCAGTGAATTCGAAATATATATCCAGTCTTCTTTCAGTGCTGATCATTTTTACAGGAGAAATTTCGTCGAATATTTTTAAAC